ACCAAACACATATACAAGTTATACAGAGTACTCGAGTACTCCGGACTTTTAGATTTGTGATGCGATGCGGATAAAAGCGTCAGGACCAGACAAACTCATCAAACGAGAAGAAATTGGACTTCAAGTTTGTGATGCGATGCGGACACAGATATCAGGACCAACAAACTCACCAAACCCAAAAGCAATTTTACACACACAAACATCAGTATTTCTATCTGTCTTTGGGGCGGAGATTTGTCGATTCTTCCTTCCCACTTTTCTCCCAAGCGAATTAGAGAGCCCCTGGGGAGGAGCTGTTTAAACTGACCACCTCCCCCAAGTGCCCTGATTGGCTGGATTCGCTTCTGGCCTAGGTCAATCAGAGTTTCGAACAGAGTGAGATCCCAAACCACACCAGGTCAAAAGTCAATGTTTATCTTTACCTTATCTTACTCTACATTCCTTTCCCAGGGGATATTTTCACCTAAACTATTCCTTTTCAGACATTTAAACTTTTCCTCACCTATTTAACGATGTGTCTTTAACGACTTAATGACCGCATCTGGCTTTTAGGAATGATAAGAAGGATGTAATGTTTGTCTTTCACGACCTTAATGACGACATCTGCTTTTAGGGGTGAAACCCAGGCAAGGTTGGTGTATGAAACACAGAATCTCTGAGCCAGTGAATTTAAAAGTGAGAATAACATTCTTTTTCTAAGTGATTATCAAAACCCTTGTGATTACATAAAACAGTTCAAACAATACATGTTTACTTCAATACAGTGTAGAATCATATCTTCTTACTTCACTTTGTTAATACCGGAGTTAATAACTGGAAAAAGTGCCCAAGCCTCCATGAACAGTTGTCTCTGACTGTACGATGGGTATCAGCTGATTATGTTGTCCATGAAGACTTCATAGGAATGTATGACTGTCCTAAGACTGACGCAGAATCAATAACCCACTGATAAACTGCGATGTTAACAACCTCATGATAACCTCATATGTTTTTAACTTAGGATCATAGGCTACCTGTGTTTAGTCTAGAAAAAGGTAATTGTGTGCATTTTATTATAAAGTTGTGTATATTTACAGACTGTTGCAAAAACTAATAAGCTTATAAACATAAGGTTTAAAACTAAAAGAGCTTTACAAAAAAGTAACACAATTAAAGATGTTTGGAGTTTTATTTGAGTTATTAATTTACATTTTTTGTCAAAGAGATGCTGATTTGAAACCGTTGTAGTTACGGCATTTCCTGTTTCTGCCGGAGAGAGGGGAGTTTGTCCCAAAGCTTGCCGCTGTCTCCCTCCATCTGACAGGAGGGAGCCTCATGTGTCACTCCACGGAGTTCACTCCGTCACGGAGGGGGAGTGTGTCGGGCGTAGTTTGGGATTGGGCCATACACACGCACCTTTTTGGCCCCCCCACTTCTAAAATGAATCCGGCGCGCCTGCCCCAGAGAATCTGTGGAGGGGAGCTCCACTGGGGCAGGTAACCTCCTATATCACAGTCTTCACAGACGCTTCAGTGACAGGATGGGGGGGGGGGACGTGCCTAGAGAGAGCTGTGGGTGGTTGCTGGCCTCTGGCAGAGGCGCGGCACAGCAACCTCCTGGAGCTGCAAGCAGTGATGTTGGTCCTACAGCACTTCAAACCCTTAATACAGGGCAAACATGTGCTAGTAAGGAGCGACAACCGCACCACAGTGGCGTACATCAACAGGCAGGGCGGATTCCGCTCAATAGCCTTGTTGACCGCAGCAGAGAACCTGTGGCTGTGGGTTTCACAGATTGTGTTGTCTCTAAGGGCCCTGCACATCCCGGGACGGGAGAACGGGGGGGGCGACCTCATGTCAAGAGGCGGACCCCTGCCAGACGAGTGGAGGCTTCACCCGGAGGTGGTGAAGCAGGTCTGGACTCAGTTCGGTAGCGCAGAGGTGGACCTGTTCGCCAATCGGCGCAACAGCCACTGTGCCCTGTGGTTCTCCCTGGCTCGGTGGGACAACCCGCCCTTGGGGGTCGACACATTTGCACACAAGCCATGGCCAAGAAAGCTGCTTTACGCCTTTCCACCGCTGCACCTTATCCCCCCCCCTCCTGGAGAGGGTGAGGCGGGAACAGCTGTCAATCATCCTGGTGCCCCCAGATCGCCGCCTGGCGCCGTGGTACGCGGGGGTAACACAGATGATGGTGGGCCAGCCCTGGGCGATTCCTCAGGTCTGGGGAGCGCTGTCTCAGGAAGCAGGTGCAATAGGGGCGTTACCCACTCTGGGCCAACCTCTCCAGGCTTGGCTCCTGAGAGGGGCAGGCTGAGACAGGTGGGGCTGTCTGATAATGTTATTCAGACTATCCAAGCAGCAAGAGCAGAATCCACCACAGCTTGTTACAGGCCAAAGTGGGCGGGATTCCGGCGATGGTGTGAAGGAAGGAGTCTAGAGCCTCTGTCGTGCACGCTGGGCTCTATTCTTACCTACTTACAGATACTGGTGGACAGGGGGCTGGCTCATTCCACAATTAAGGTGTATGCAGCAGCCATTTCGTCCTGCCATGAGGGATTTGGAGGCAGGTCAGCCTTCAGTCAGCCGCTTATGGCGCGGTTTTTGCAGGGGGTCAGGAGGCAGCGCCCAGTAGTGCACGCCTCCGCCCCGCAGTGGGACCTGCCGTTGGTGCTCGAGGCTCTGGTCACAGAACCATTTGAGCCTCTGGAGCTCTCCTCCCTGAAAGCACTGTCATGGAAGACAGCATTGCTACTTGCCTTGACTTCGGCTAAAAGAGTGTCCGAGCTGACCGCTCTGTCGGTACACCCAAGTTGTCTTTTGATCCGGGGTGACCGTAGCGGGGCGACACTCAGGCCGAACCCCTCCTTTACTCCTAAGAGTATCAGAAGTTCATTCAGATCAAGGGCTATTCAGTTAGGTGGCTTTAATCTTCCACCCCATATTGGGGCCAGGGAGGCTAAATTGCACCTCCTCTGCCCAGTGCGTGCGCTAGCATGCTATGTAGAGCGCACGGCTGCCATTAGGCGCACTGAACAACTGTTTGTGTGCTTTGGGGATGGTGTGGCTGGAAAAGCCCTCTCAAAGAAGCGCCTAACAGGATGGCTATGCGGGTGCATTACACATGCCTATGGACGGGCGGGGAGAGCCCTCCCCACTGGGGTCTGTGCACATTCTACACGGGCTGTGGCTGTGTCAACAGCCTTATTCAGCGGCGTGAGTGTAGAAGATATATGCACGGCGGCGTCTTGGTCTACGCCAGGCCCCTTCATAACATTTTATCTCCTGGACATGTCTGGCTCCTTCTCGTCGTCTGTGCTTGCCGAGGCAACGCTTGACTGGTGAGAGGGGGGTGGCTGTGGGTCAGCAGGTATCTGACCCCCCCCCCCCCCCCCCCATGGCCATAAAGCACTTGTGTTTTCCCATGCTCCTGAGGGACTCGGGAGACATGGTGCGCAATCAGCCCCATACAGGGCTGGAGGACTTGGCCTCCTCACTATTGTCCATGCCCACTCTACACGGAGCGTGTGTGAGTGTGGGGGACGTGGTGCACTTATGTTTTCCCATGCTCCTGAGGGACCTGGGGAACATGGTGCGCGGAGTCTCCGCACAATTTTTTCCATGCACACTCTACACGAGGTAAGCGTGTGTGAGTGTGCCTTATCCAAGTTGCGGCCCCGACTTCTCCACAGTTACAACCGGATGGGAGGAAGTGGGGATGCAGTGGATGTTAGCCAAAAGCCGGTCAGGGACGGTGTGGTGGGTCGATGTTGTTGGACGACAGGGCGTTTATACATTGGGGCTCCCATAGAGTCCAGTAGAGGGCGGAGCCTGTGTGAGATATAACGGGGGGTTACGTATTGTAACCCTAGTTATATAAGCACAGGCGGAGCCCTCTACCTGGGGGCCCTGTCTTTCCTAGTCCGCTCGCTGAAGAGTGTATAGGATAGTGGGGCGGCGGGTGTAGCCGCCTTATATACTGTGGGCCTGCGTGCGCATTCAGGTAGGCTCGCCCCGATTGGCCGGCTACGTTTACGTAAATTCAGTAGGTGAAAGCACGCACAGCATGATAGAGAGTAGTACCCATAGAGTCCAGTAGAGGGCTCCGCCTGTGCTTATATAACTAGGGTTACAATACGTAACCCCCCGTTTCAGGAAAAAAGATTTGCTCACTTTTTGTCCTGATCCATTTATATAAAAACCTGTCTGAAAATGAGCTAATCAGATTTTGACCACTTTATGATGTCATAACGATTTGGGTTGTGTAACCATTAGCCAATCAGCAACCAAGGTAACACCGCCCCCCTCCCCACCTTATCACCTGAAGATCCTCCTAGAGCACCGTTGTGTTCTTTTTAACCAAATATCTCTCAGAGGGCGTGGGGAGAGGCTCCTTATTTTCATCTAAAGTAACAGACAGAGAATCAGCACTTTTGATACAGGGCTGAAACAGAGGGGATTATGGGATGCTGCAATGCATGATCTGTTGGGTATTTCGAGGCAAACACTTCAGAGACATGTTTTGTATATCTGAGACCTATAATATATTGATGAAAAACAGTATAATAGGGGACCTTTAATTGCATATCTCTTTCATTAGAATGAATGCATAATTTAATAAAACAGCCTGCAGCTGTATTGACTCTATATTTAAAACTTGTTGTTGATATTGTGTCCCTGCTGTTGGTCCTCTTTAACTGCATAGAATGGTCAGTTGTCTTTTTTCATCAACAATTGAGGTTTTTTATTAATATTTGTAGTTTTCTATTTTTTATTTATTTAGCAAATGTACCTTCTGTAGTTCCATATTGAATACTAGGAATAACGTTTTATTAACGGGTTTTCAGATTTTATTGTAGAATGCAAACTCTTCTTTGGTTTCTAAAATGGAGATATTCCCCAAAGAAATGGAAACCCCTCAATGACCCTGATGATTTCTTAACACTTAACAGCTACTATTTCTTCTCATAATTACTGTGCAGTGAACAGTATTAATCCGTCTCTGCTCTGTGTTGTCTGTAGTGAACTGAAGGAGATTCTGGGCTTCAAGAACCTTCAGGTGTGTATGAAGGAAGCTGCCCTGCTGGATTACTATGTGTGTGGCTTCTGGTGGGCGAGGGAGGCTAACTTCACCCCCCCACAGACCTCGTTCACCATGGCTGTGCTGCACATGCTGCTGGAGAACATCAGAGGTGAGGAGGACAGAGAGACAAAAGAGATGACAGGCTAACAATATGTCTAATGCACCACATTCTAGTTTAGGACAAATAATCTGCAGCCATATTATGGTTAGTTCAAAGTCAGCTGCACAATTAGGACTTGTTCCTTATTAAAATCTTCATTCATATATTGTAATTTACTTAATGTGGCATTAATGCAGAAAAGGAAGCTATGTGCATTACACTTCTGCCTATCCTATCAAATATATCAGAACTGCAGCACTAATCTGTGCTTTATGATCATATGGCAGAGAAGCAGATGTCTTTGGTGGAGAACCTGATGGAGTTTGCTCAGGCTGTAGGTACTGCCAGCCAATGCTCAACTTCAGAGGAAGGCACCACACCACTTCTGAACAGAGAAGAAGCCACTGCACTCATGAGTTACATCAGAAACAGGTCAGTGGAATCTTTATACTTGCTCTAACATTCACAGATGAAATCTAGATATCACTGGCAGGTTACAAATGCAAACCAAATCTAAATCCCATCCAGCATGAGTTTCCTGTGATGACATACAACGTGTCCTTTCGTTTGAACCATGCAGGTCCCATGTGGGCTATGGTATGGTATTTTTAATCAATAAATATATGTCCCAGTTTTGGATACAAGGACCCCATTTTCCCCCTTAATAGCCCAATCATTATACTGTGGTCACAAAAAGAGGTCAACTAGTAACCCACATTACTTTGAACGAGGGCTGTCAGTCGATTAAAATATTTAATCGCGATTAATCGCATGATTGTCCATAGTTAATCGCGATTAATCGCAAATTAATCGCACATTTTTTATCTGTTCTAAATGTACCTTAGAGGGATATTTTTCAAGTTTTTAATACTCTTATCAACATATGAGTGGACATATATGCTTTATATGTTTGTTTATTATCATTTGAACAATGACAAATATTCTCATGAATATTAAACACAACAACCTCTGAACATTACAAATATTCGCCTCAATTCAACCTGGAACCTCTCTCATACAATAATACAATACAAAGTGTGTGTGTGTGTGTGTGTGTGTGTGTGTGTGTGTGTGTGTGTGTGTGTGTGTGTGTGTGTGTGTGTGTGTGTGTGTGTGTGTGTGTGTGTGTGTGTGTGTGTGTGTGTGTGTGTGTGTGTGTGTGTGTGTGTGTGTGTGTGTGTGTGTGTGTGTGTGTGTGTGTGTGTGTGTGTGTGTGTGTGTATGTGGAGACACTGTGATGGATCGTTGGAGCTATGTGCAGCTCAAGGCATATATGCTCGAACGGGAGCTGCCTGGACGCTGCAATCATGTTGCGAGCACTATCCGTGCTGAGTGTGCTGACTTTTCGTACAATGTCCCACTGTCTGGCTACCTGCATAAAGTCAAGTGCTCGGCGCAGTTGTCGGCGAATTGTCGCTCCTCTGTTTTCATTGAAACAGCTCCTTATATCCGTTAGCGCAGCTAGCTAGCACCAGATGCTAACAACAACAACAACACGTAAGGTGTGCCTCGCTCGAGTCGCGCCACACATACACACACCCTCCCGGTCCTCCCGATGGCCAGTCCGGGCCTGCCGGTGAGCGTGGAAGTGTGGTCTGCCACAAGCGGGCGGCAGGAGCGAGGCTAAGCATCAGCTTGTAGATGGTATTTTAAACTTGATGCGCTCTGAAACTACGGGGCGGCCGAGGACAAAAAATACACATGCGTTAATCGCGTTAAAATAATTAGTGGCGTTAATTTTTTTTTGCGTTAACGCGTTATTAACGCGTTAACTTGACAGCCCTACTTTGAACACACAGGTGACACACACTAGGCAGGACTAGGCAGTTTTAGTTTTTTTCATATTTTGTTTCAAGACATAAAATACGTCAGTGAATACCAGTTTATGTCTGAAGCTGAACATTATTCGCTTTTAGCTTACGGGTGTTGCCGTAAAGTCATTTGACCTTGATGTAGTTCCTTTAAAGGAGAGGTATAATGCTATTCCGGTTATTACCCGTCCCCTTGTGTGTTATGAAGGTTTTTATGCATGTAAACGGTCTGCAGAGTCAAAAACCCTGAAAGTACACCCTGTAGCGAGTCAAACTCTAACACAAAACCTCCCCAAAACGCCTCGTTGGAGATTTCTCATTTTCTTCCTGGGCACTGTGAGTCACAGTACCCAGAGGCCACACCCTCTGCCAGCCTTTCACGAAACAAAGCTTCCCAAACCTTTCAGCGATTCATGCCGGATATGTACAGCGTAGGGCACTGAAGAACGATGCTGTTCCTACTTTGTTTGGACCAGCGGGAGATTCGGGTACACAACCTGTAAGTATTCATTGTTGTTTGTGTATTTATGATGTTTAAAACAAACAAGGTATCTACCACGACTGTTTAAATGGGTAAACGTTTTTCGGACTACTACATTGGGATCGCGGAGAAATGCTCTCCGCAGACCCATTCTCACAGCGTTATAAACCTTTTTCTTACTCAATATCAAACCACACTTATTGTTTTTACTTCGGCTGTGAGTGTTTGTGTGTGCTCAGGATGAGTTTAGCTTGTTCTAGCTGTATCGGCAAGCCTGTCTGCTCCCGCAGCAGTGTGTGTGTCTGTGTGTGTGCGAGCAGCAACAAGCCTGTCAGCTTCTCGACCAATCAGAACACACTGGGCTCACAGGGAGGGGGGGCAGGAGCTCGAACAAGCCGTTTCGGACAGAGAGTGAATACCGGTGAATACACATACTTTACAGAGATGCTGTATGAGAAACCAATGTGAGTTTGGAAAATTGCACAGTATAAATCTATTTTAGTATACCTCAACAATGGAATTATGATCAGTAGAAATGGCCATGACACCTGTCCTTTAAAGCCTAACGTTAGCTACTAGTTTCTGCTGTTTGCATTAACAAACTTTCATAAAGTGGTGTAAATATGTGGAGATAATCCGGCTGAACACAAGGTGTAAGTGTCATAAACGTTTTCCATAGATCTGATTCTCTGCAGTACTCCATAAAAAAAAAAGCAGTGGGAAAAATCCCACTGCTTTTAGTCGAGGGAGTCGTCGTGATGCTAACTTCCTGGTCGACCTACAAAAAAACCACTGAACCACTCAGACACATCTTATGCTACACTGTCACTGAAAATAAAGTGTTAAAATCCAATAGTGTTTGGATAAATTGTAGAATCTGATCATTATATCAGGAATATATTTATAGGTTTATGATGTTTTTATGGTTCTTTTATAAATACTTAAAATATTGTTTCAGTAAATAAAAAGTATTAATTCACAACGCTGCAAACTCAGCGGTTTAATAACCTTTTATGTTCATTATATTTATGAATAGAGTTTTCCATGGATGAGCCATCACATTAATGGATAAAAGGTCATTCTGTAACACATACTGGAAGCTGCATACTTGAAGTTATAGCAGGTGTACGGTGGTTTTATTGTATCATTCCAGATTTTTGATGTGAGTGGAATAGCTCTGTGTTCCCCTTGGCTGAAGTGTTTAATAATTAAAGTGACACTCCTGACCTTGTGTATTCTGTTTGCTGCAGTTTGTTTCAGAAATACACACTCTACCAGCTTCTCTTCACCTCAGCCAGAGAGGAGCTGCTCTCAGGCCTGGAGGTGAGGCTGTGTGTGACGTGTTAGTGTGTGTTTCCATGTCTATATGCATATAAATAATATTTGAAATATGCTGTTTTCCAGAGGAACATTGAGGTGTTCAGCTGTCCGGACGGTTTCACCCCGATGGAGGAAGGTATCCCCTCTCACCTCCTCTCCCAATAAATGACTCTGTGACATTATCTGGGATAATGATGGACAGATGGCATAAGCAATCCTCATCACACCTGCTCTTTGTTCTCAGTTTTAATCTGTTTTACATAATCCACATCGTCTCACATAATAATAATATAATTACTATTTATTTGTTATGAACTAGGCTCACTTGTATGCAACAATGACACAGAAGGTTTTACATGGTAAGGTCTGCCCTTCATTTTTACCGGTGACCTGTGTACAAAAAATGTAAACAACCCTCCTTTAAAATACATATTGCTTCATATGTTGTCCGTCATGACTAATGAGGCATTGCACAGTGACTTATGCTTTCCTTTGTGTCTGTAGTAAAAACATCAAACGTTCTTCTCCTGTACATCACAAGAAAACTTACTTAAAGATTAGAGTATTTTCTACTACACAGCATTTCATATACAAAAAAAAACGTTATCCTCTATAAGTGCTTTTTAACTGAGTGTAATAAGCCAAAAGAAGTCAAACGTATAACATGCAAACATTTACATAAAACAAAATTGGTAGGGGAATCTAAGTAAAAGAAACGAAAAAAGGCTAAAATAAATTCCTCATTTATATTCATTCATACAGTTTATATTCATGGACTCAGCCTGCTTGGATAGAGGTGGTACCTTGAGCCTTGAGTTATACATACTGTAGCTATATTGAGCAGTGAAAATGCAGCAATATGATGTGTGCTTTAGAGGTTAGTAATATAACAAGATTTAAAGCCAATACATTAAATAATACTTGTAAAATTGTTGTCATGTTTAATGGAATAATGCTATCAAGGCCTAGGCCTACAAGGCCTACGGGGGTGCATAGGCATTAGGGATGTGCATCTCCATCACTGAGGCCGATGCGATGCGCATCTCGATACGTTGCCAACGATACGAAACATTAACGATACATTTGAAGCACCGGGCGATGTGATACGATACGATTCACCCCTGTTGCGATACAGTTCGATACGATTTGATTCAACATTATGCGATTCGGGGCGATACGATGCGATTCAACACGGTGCAAAATAATGATACAATTCAATATGGTACGACAGAGGATTTTGTTTTATTCCTTATTGACCAGCATTAACAATGTGCAAAAAACAATTACCATATAGCAATGGCCATACAACTGCCAGACTGATGTACATAACACTCATTCAGTAGGCTAACTCACCAGTGAGCAGAAAGCAGCGGTTTCTATTATGAACATATAAAGAATACAAATAACCTTTCAAAAATAGGTCTTAATAACATTTCAACTATTATTGGCAGTCACAGGCTGCTGTAAAATAAAAACCACTCTCACTGACATAACACCTCACTGAGTGGTTTAGCTCATATGTCTAGCCTGCAGGTATTTCTTCAGGAATATGAGTTGATCAACATGATCAGGATGAAGCAAGCTGCGCTTTGCTGTCACTATGTCACCGGCTGTACTAAACACTCGTTCAGAGGGTACACTTGTTGCAGGGATGGACAGGTAGCTCTTTGCCAATGTTGAGAGCAGTGGAAGATCCACTCGTTTTTTCCACCACTGCAACACATCACCACTCAAACCTAAAGCATCCCTCTCTCTGTACTTTAAGATTTCCTCCTTTGCTCTCTCCTTTGTGGTCTTTACTGGTGATCTTGCAGGGAGGAAATCACCGAACATCTGGTCCAAGGCCGTCTTCTTCATGGGAGGGATATCATCTAGGGAGTGGAAAAGAAGAGAAGAGAGGATTTTTAGATTTAGATTACAAAAATGATGACATACAATACTATACACCCATTTTCAAATCAATACACTTTTATAACTTTTGGCACAGTTCCTATCAAAACAAACCTGTCTCTTCTTCCTCTCTGTGGGGGCTCCTGTCACCTTCTGTTTCAGCTGCCTGGTCCTCATTCAGAGTGTCACCTTCTGTTTCAGCTGCCTGGTCCTCATTAAGTGTATCACCATCCCCTGCCTGACAATAATCAGCACAGATGAGCTATTAGATTTCCTTAAACTAAACAAATAAGCGTCAGTTAAGTAAGCCACAGGTAAATAACAGTGAAAGTGAGACAGACACTAGCTACAATATATTGAGTAGTATATTCTTACCTGTCCATCCATCTTCACCACCTCTGCTGTTATCCTCATGAATATCATGTCCTTAGTGTCGTTATCATCCAGGAAAGCCAGGTCTTTGAAGCGGGGATCCAGTGCTGAGGCGTAGTGGAGGAGGTCTTGGAGATATGTGTAGCGACCATCAAAGTCCTGTCTGAATCGCTCCTTCATCTGGGAAATGACCAGTAGATCACTCTCATCTGACTGGAACTGCCTCCGCAGTTTGGTCTGGATTGGGGAGATCATTGAGATGGTGGGGTTTTTTTCCTCACTGAGGAGTGTAGTTGCTACTTTCAGGGGGGACATCAATTTGATGACCTCTGGGATTAATGTCATGTCATCCTCTGTCAGGCTGGTCATGGCTTCTCCCCTCCTTATCTTCTTTGACAGCAGGGTGTTCAACACAGCAGGCTGCTGTTCCCAAAAACGCTCCAACATGTCCAGGGAACTGTTCCACCTTGTGGAAACATCATGCACTAGCTTGTGGTGAAGCAGGTGTAACTGGATCTGCATTTCACGGAGAGCTTCAGTTGCTTTTGGGCTTTTGTGGAAATAAGTCACCACCTTCCTCATTTTCACCAGAAGCTCTGACACCCTGTCCACCTTCAGGGCTTTTTGGGAGGCCAGGTTTAGTGTGTGCGCGATGCATCGCACATGTGGCTCCATCTGTGCACCAACTCCAGCCAGTATCATGTTTCTTGCATTATCTGTGACCAACGCTGGATTCTTGTCTTCAATTTTCCACTCGCGGCAAACTTCTTGCAGTAACATTGCTAGATTATTTCCCGTGTGGGCCTCGTTGAACACTCTGGTCTGCAGAACATGGTTTTGCAATACCCACTCGTCATCAATATAGTGTGCCGTGAACGTGACATATGAGTCAGTGGCGCTAGACGTCCAGCCATCAACTGTAATTGCAACTCTTTGGGCATTGCTCAGCGAGTCAACTAACTCTCTTCTCACTTTGTCATAAAGAGCAGGGATTTGTTTCTCGGTAAAGAACCTCCTATTTGGTACATGGTACCTGGGCTCCAAAATGTGGAGGAGGTGTTGGAAGCCCTCATTCTCCGTGACACTGTACGGCTGGATATCTTTACAGATAAAGAAGACGATGGCGTCAGTTATTGCCTTGGAGCGGGTAGAACTGTTAGCCAGCGGAGCGTGAAAAAAAGTTGTGATATGCTGCTGCTCACCAGTCTTGCTGCCGCCAGGGATAGCCGGGTTAGCTTCAGCTGAATCCGAGGAGGATAGGGAGACAGCCGCAGACGTACTATTCACCCCATGTCGCCTCTTTAGGTGCGTCGCTAAATTTGTTGTACTGCTCGTGTATTTTATAGCGGCAAATTGCTTGTGATTTATCAAGTTGCCCGTCATTTTTGAAGAATCCGAAGTGTTGCCAAACGTTTGATTTATATTTATTTTTCGGTGCGCTGTGTATTTCTTTCTCCTCGACTTCCATGCTTGTTGATAACTGTGACGCGGGCACGCAGCTCTCGGGCACAGTCGTGGCGAAGCAAAGATCAAAGATCGTCTCTGCAGAGTGCTGACACGAGTGGATGAGTAGGTAATATTATATATATGAATGAATCGTTTTTTACCGATGCAAAGAGACGCTACAATCGATGCATCGTGAGTTCAACCCAAACTGTAGCCGATGTGCACTCTTTCAACCGGTGCACTCGCATCTTGAACGTTTATGCCGGTGCACCGATACGAATCGGTGAATCTTAACATCCCTAATAGGCATGCATTGCACCCCCAGTTGAATGTTATGCACCCTCTATTCCAAAAAGAGAATGGAGCGAAAAATATTACAAATATAACAACATTAAAGGTAGGGTAGGTAAGTTTGAGAAACCGGCTCGAGATCGCTAGAATTTGAAAATACACAACCGGAGAAAATCTGCCACTTCCTTATAGAGCCCCTCCTCCAACACACACGAACGCGCACATGACCAATGAGGGCACGAGATAAGTTTGTGCACAGATGGAAGGCTGACAGGCAGGTAGGCCATCCAGTTATTTTAGCCGGGCCGGCTAAAATGATTGGTCGTGCTTTTTACAGTACTACGGCTTCCACAGATGACATTTTTTTATGGATTTTTTGTCAAAGCACTTAAGATATTCATTGCTATCGGGATGTTAAGAGCATTCCATGGAATATAACAAAAAGTGTATCTCGAGCCGGTTTCTCAAACTTACCTACCCCACCTTTAATAGAATAGCCTACAATACAAAACAAATTGTGTCAGGTGCGCGTGACCTGCCCCACTGCGCATGCATCATTTCCAAAGTGCTTCCACAGCAGTGACACACATCTGTGGATAATCATGGATATACGAAAATGGTTAAAGCAACCATCACTAAACGCCAGCACCACTGCATCTACTGCAGACAATAGCAACAGGTCAGATTGGGACATTACATTACCCGCCGTCGTGGACACTAGCTTACTCCCGCCCGACTCGCCGCCCCCGGAGCAGCAGTCTTCGTCGCCCCAAACACCGCCACCCCTCGGCGGTCCGAGACTTTTTTATTGAGTCAGGCACAATGAGTTACATTTATACGGTCTGTATTTTTCCTTAAATAAAGTAATGTAAAAGATCATTTAAAAAAAATGCATAGATAAGAAAATTAAGAATAATAACAATAATACATGTACCCATATACTCACATATGTATACCCACATATACATTATATATATATATATATATATATATATATATATATA